TCCCTGTCCCCCAGCGCTCCAGCTCCTGCTCAAGGACCCGGCCCCCGCGGTGCGCGTGAAAGCCGCGGAGGCTCTGGGCCGCCTGGTGAAGTTCGCCTGAGGCTCCCGCGGCAGCGCTGCCGGTACACGCGGTACCGGCCTTGCCAACCCGAACCGAACCTCCGAGATGGGACCCTAAGGAGCCCCCTGCCCGAGGGGAGCCCCCGGGCCCACACAGCAAGGGAGGGCTGGGGCCACGAGGGCGGGCCCCCCCTGCTTCCCAATAAAGCCATTTGCTGCTCAGCAGGTGTCTCTCCTTCCGGGCAGGTCAGCAGGTCCCCTCCCCCGTTAGGCATCCTGACTCAGAGAAGGTCACGCCAGCCCAGCAGGAGAAAAGCCTCTATTGAGTGTCCTGAGCACACACACAGCCCAGCCCCACCTGCCCCGCCCGGGAAGCAGGGCCACCTAGGTGAAGAGGCGGAGGGTGCCGTCAGCCCCGGCGGAGAAGACCCACGGCTGGGTGGGGTGGAAGGCCACGTCCAGCACCCCCAGGTCTTTGGCCAGGCTGTGCCCCTTGAGCACCTTCACGGGCACCAGCAGCGGGTTCTGCAGCAAGTCGCTGTGGGGAAGGGAGAGGCTCAGGACGTGGGCAGCACAGCCCCCATGGGGTGCGGGCAGGCGGGCGGGCACTGGCACTCACTTGTACACCATCCCGTGGCAGACGATGACACTGCCGTCGTCAGAGCCAGATGCAAAGAGCGGGTACCGGGGGTGGAAGGCCACGGCCCGGAGGGCCTTCTTGTGGTGCCTGAGTGGGGGGACCAGGTTGAGGGGGGTGGGGGGGGTGAGTAGGGAGCAGCCTGCCACCCGCCAGCACCTCACCTCAGCACCCTGTACGGCCTGGTGGACAGGTCCAGATCAAACCACACCAGCTTGCTGTCATAGCTGCCACAGATGACGTTGTCGCCTGGGGGAAGATGCGGTGGTAGGGACCCGGTGGCCCCCTCACCTGCCCCCCACCAACCAGGGCGCCCCCTCACCTGCCGGGTGCACTGCCAGGCTGGACACCCACTTGCAGTTGGGCGTCAGCTTCTTGGTGAGCTCCTGGCGCAGCAGGTGGTAGAGGCGGACACTGCGCTGGGAAGCCACGAGCAGAAAGGGCCGCACGGGGTGGAAGGCCACGCACTGCACCTGGCCGTGGCTGCGGCGGAAAGGGCTCTGGCTGCGGCGTCGGCTCAACTGGTGGATCAGCACCTGGCTGCGGCCCGGGGTGGCCAGCACCACAGCCATGTAGTCCCCACGACCGTGCCACGTCGCCTGCGTCACTGGCTGCAGGAAGGGAGGTGGGCTCAGCCGCGCCCTCCCCC